TGGTATATTTTTCTTTTTAATCCCCCCCACTCCCTTTCTAGTATGTTTTCAAAGAACTCTGGTTTTCAGCACATTGATGACTTGTACCCTAAACAGCATCACTTCCCACCCCCTAAAAGAGCAGCCTTTGGTAAGGAACCTTCAGCCTTGTGCCATTCCCACTGTGGCCATGGCAGGTTGCTCTCAGCAGGCTTTGGGAACAGCTTTGGGATGCTGTGAGGGAACATGGTGTGCATCTGTATGCAGTGGACCTTGTTCCTGTGAGGCTGGGGGCGTGCAGATGTCACAGTGAAGCTGATTTATGATCTAGTTGTGCTAAAAAGCAATTCTGTTTCTACTCTTCTTCCTGTGGCTGGTCCCTGGCAGTGCTCTTCCTGGAGCTCATGGTATTGATACCACAGTGAGCCAGGATGGAACCTCACCCTATTGCAACAAAATAAAAGGGAGGATAAAATACTTTTTTTTCTGTGCACAACCTTGAAAGGCTGCTGAGGTAAGAGAGGTCTGGCATCCATGGGGACTGCAGGAGCAGACGCTGAGGGTGTCTGTAGAAGCCACGCTGCTGTTTTGCAAGGGTAATGGCTCAGGCTAGTGCAGCTCAGCTTTGTTTGCAGTTTCCTTCTCCAGCCTCCCCTCTTCCCAAGGCACCCCTGCTGCTTCTGGCACGGCCCACATTCTTTCGCTGGTGGAACATCCGCCAAGGACTCCCGCTTCCAGGATGGTCAGACTTTGTTTTGAACATGTGAATTTTGTGGGAAGRGAGAGGTGGGGAATAGTAGGGTGGGGGAGGCAGTTACCATGAAAAATATCATGAGGAAAAACCAAACCAACCCYTCCCTCCCCCCACCTAAATCCATCTAAAATTAGAAGTGCCGTTAACAATAAATCAGTCTTTTGACTGTGTGTGTTTCTGGCACTCGTGCTTGCAATGGTCAGGACTTTGTATAACAAAATATCCACGGGTTTTTTTGCAACATTCACATCTTGAATGTTTTGCCCTGGTGAATCAGAGATCTTTTTGCCTTAAAAGCACATAGAGTACTCTGTGTTTATGATCAGACTGTCGAAATGTCAAGGCTAATTACACTAGTGTGTTCCCAAGTGAATAAACCATCTTTCAAAGAACATCCTGTCGAGATCAACAAAATAAGATATTGGCATGATCACTTGCAAACTGCTTAAAAAAATGATAATAAGAGGCAGGATCTAAATATCAGGAAATAGAGATGGAAGAAACCTATCAATTCACCTTATCCATTTTACGTTGGTGCAAAAYACATTTTATGTTCTGTCACAGAGTGATTTCTTTTTGGGTCAGTCCAGTCCCAGTGCTTGAAAAACTGGAGTCTCCACTACTTAAAGASCTACTTCTTTCTCCTTTTGTTCTATATTTTATCCTCTTCAGTTCTGTTTTCGAGATATAAATTTTGGCCAGACATTGGGATTAAAGTTTGYTTCCAAATCATCTGGATAATTTACATTCCATCTTTGAAAGTGACATAGGAACTGAGGCGTCCAAGCCTCACTAAAATGAGTGTGACTTGGCTTCTGTGCAGACATCATTTTTAAGTGCTTGGGTCCCTCAGCCAAGTTATGTTTCCTCTTTGGATAGTTTAGAGTTTATTTTCTGTTGTGCCCACTGCAGGGTGACACTTTCTCATAGGATGACACCTCTGGGATGGGATCTTCTGCAGGAGCTGCTTTCTGCTTGGAGCATCCCTGCATCCAGGTGGTGATTGTGTGCCCCTCACAAGTAGGTTGTGGGGCAACAGGAGCATCCTATGGGGATCTGCTGGATTTGAAAAGGCCACTCGTAAGATGAAGATTTTGTCATACTGGYGGAAGTTGAAATCTGTTGCACATAAGGGGACATTGCATTTAAATCATRTTGGAAATGTACAAACAAAAGAAAATATTTCCACAGGTGTTTACAATATGTTTCTAAGCAGACGCCCTGGCTTGTGGTGAATGAATTTATTTTTAAGTCTTGGCTGGAGATTAACAAAATTTTTCAAGATTTCTTTTGGTGTACACAATGTACCACAGTGTTTCTTTAGGTGTACACAGATTTTTCATGATATGTGAGGATTTAAGAAATAAAAAAAAAACTTGGACTTTTGAGAATAGATCAAGGCAGCTGACAGTAATMTAAGTGAAATGTTATTATTAAAGTACCCCAATAATTTCAGTTAACATAGCACATAACTTGGGGTTTGACTAATTTTAATAAGCATTATATAAACTTAAAACAATATATTTAGGTTTGAGTTATTTAGGTTTCAGTTATTTAATTTTTAGTAACTTTTTCTTGATTTGGTGGCTTTTTTATTTTTGTTTTCTTGTGTGCCTCCACCACTCTGTAGCAATGAGCTTGTGTGCTATTAGTGGCAATAATGCTTGCTCTGCAGTTTTGAATTTATTCAAGGGGTTTTGGTGAGTTGATTTTGGACTAACTCAGAGCTAGTCAGATGCCATCTGCCTTCCTGCCACCCGGGGAAAGTAAGAAGCCAGTGCCAGAGGACTGTGCCAGTGCCATGTGACATAGGTGCCAGTCAAGTAGTGCTCATTTAGCACATCCCAGTCCCATAGGACTGAGGTGGAAATAAAAAGCCRTGTTTCTGCACATCCCAGGCAGGTTTTTGCACCCCTGCAGAGTCCCATTTAATATAACGGGGCTCCGGATGGCAACAAAGCTCTGCACAAGGATGTTCATYGTGTGGCTGCTGCAGACTTTTATACTTTTGAGTGTGTCCCTTTCAGGGAAGTCTGATACGTACCTGCAGTTCTGGAAAAAAAATCAAGTCTACAAAATGAGCCAAAATCTGTCTGTAAATAAAAATTTAAAACTTGGCATTTATGTAAATTGCTTACTATGGAATTAAAGTTTGGGATCTGACTCATTTTAATAAAGATCTGGAGTCTGAAGGCAAATGTTTGTCTCTAGAGGAAGCAAAATCTTGTTACCTCATTTTCCCGAGTGAAATCCATTCACATAGTGTAGTTCGGTTTGTGTTCCCAAAGCATTTGCAGATCATCAGATAACCCTCTTGACCTGAAGAAGGGAGAGTGTCAAGGAATTAAGCTGCAGTTAATGACCTGGGTCAACTAATTACAACAAGCGTTTGCTGTTCCCTGATCACTCCTTGACCTCCATTATCCTTCCTAAGTGCTCTTTGGATCTTTAGCAAGGTCTCTTTCTTGCTCTACAGGCTGAGTCTAGACCCATCCTCAACTACTGCTCATTGCAGGTTTTGCATCTCCACCCCGGTGCCTTGTCCCTGCCAGCTGCTTTCAGAAATGGTTCGTGTGGTGACAGAGAGGGGGTTGKTATGTACAGCAAAAAAACAGGGGAAGGATTTGTGACATAAAACAGAGGCTCCACCCATSCCTCTGTCTTATATCTTAAACTGGAGTGGGAGTGTATAATTGAGGAGTAGATGATGTGGCCAAAGGGGGAGGCAGCTGTGTGAACTGAGTATCTCATTCTGAAAAGAGGATGAAGTCAGAACAAACTATGTGGTGACAGATGGCCTGTGTCAGAAACCAGATGGCCCAGTGAGTCCCACTACTCCTGTCATGAAATAGCAAGCAGAGGAGAAGCACACAGTGTAGCCCAAAATGCTGTTACCTTCTTATGTGAGAGCCACTCATGATGTGTAGATGGTGTTACACTAAAAATCCCAGTCTGTGATGGCTGATTTGTGAGCCAGCACGGCCTACTTGCAGGAAGGGTCACAGATCTGATCCCCAACTTATTTATACAAATACATCTATCCGTGGCTCATCAGCTAAGGTGCCTTTAGTGGCTTTTAGGCCAGGCTGCCTTAGAGGCTGTGCAGATCTACTTTATCAGATGTTAACACTCAGCTGATGTCTTATCTAACTGATTGTATTTATAGATGAGTGTCGCAGCTGCTTCAGGGTGTAGGATTATGAGCAACTGGCTGCTTGTTTAGAAATGTGTGCAGTCTCTGTTACCTTAAAGAACCATTCTTCCTCTGTGTGTTCTCTCATGGACCTGAGAGCTGTAATCAGGAGCCTATTCTGACCCTGTAAAAAGGCACTGCCTCCTGCTCCAGGCACCCCTGCACTGACTCCTTGCCTTTCCAATTTGTGATGTGTGGAACTGCTATAATATCAAAATTAACAAATGTGTTTTGCTACTCCTATTTACGTCTGCATTTGTGGTGTCTTGCCTCTTCCTGTCTTGGAGGTAGAAAGAGCCATCCAATACTTGTAAAAATTAAAACATGAACTGAGAATGACGTGAAGAAAGGCAGATTTATAGTCAAAATGTCCTACTAATCCAAACCCCATCTGGTTGGTGTGCTGTCCTGGGAACGGATTTCAAAGTGGTTCTGAAATGCAAATCTAGTACTGAAGTTCTGACCTACTGTTATAAGTTTATTAAGAGATGTTTTGTTTTGTACATATGTGGACGCATGAAAACTTGCTGGGAGGGATTTATGTATTTTGTACACAGGGCTTGTATTTTTCTAATTAAATGCCTAAAGTTCTGTTGGTCATTACTGTAATGTAGTGAGTACACGCACCTTCTAACATTGCTTTAAGTGATGCCACTAACTTGTCAGCAAATTAAATATATAGAATATTCAGTACAGACTAAAGAGATTTGGCTGGCACTTAGATTAAATGGAGAGGTTTCCCCTTTCTCATTAAACCTGGCACAGTAATGATAGTGATTTAAAACACTAAAGCTTGAAAGAATAACCAGCTTTTTTTTCTTGGGAGAGTCTGTATTTGAGAGGAAACCAGGGATCAGAATTCCCATGTCACTTCTGTTGAACCATGGAAGTGTGTGCCTTTGGAAGGGCACCGTTCTTGCCTAGGAGCACTGAGCTCAGTGTGCATCTTCTGCATTTCTCATCTCAAACACAGCCGTTTGAAATACAAAGCCGTTATTCCTGATACATCTGTATTAAATGTGCAAAAATCAAATGTTCATATTTAAAACATTTGCAGGTCTGGTTTAGCAATCGTCGTGCCAGATGGAGGAAACAGGCAGGAGCCAACCAACTGATGGCTTTCAACCACCTGATCCCTGGAGGATTCCCACCCAGTGCCATGCCAACTTTGCCAACGTACCAGCTCTCTGAGCCCTCCTACCAACCCACCTCCATACCGCAAGGTACAGTAGCCAACAGGTACTTGGTCAAAATAGTGTTATTGGGGGGTTTCCAGTGTTCATCCATTGTAGAAATACTTTCCTTTCTGTTGGCTAATTTAGGGGCTGGCTCAGGGAGGACCCCTCAAGCCTGCTTATTTGAAGCACGTAAGAACTGCAAGATAGGGGTGCTTCCATGAGAAGGGTGCTCTCTAGAGAAATAATCACCTCCTGCACAGCAGATGTGCAGCTTTGGTAGAGTGATGTACACTCATCCCTGTCCTTTCACTGCATTGGCCTGCTTCGCTGGGAGTACCTGGTGTGGTGCAGAGAAGGCAGGTGCACTCTGTCCTCATTGTGACTATCAGTGATGGAGCATTGGAACTTCTGTAAATACTCTGAATATTTATCTGATGGTGGACAAAGCAGCTATTCAGACCACCTTGTTTCACATCAGACCGTAGCCACTCTCAGTAGGGGAAAAATTTGTCTCAATGTTATCAGAAATTCTGTGAACTTTGATGGATTTCAGGAGGGAGGGAGCAAATCCTCAAATCTAAGCTACGCTAGACTTTACTATTAAATGAAAACCCTATAGGTAAAATTTTGTAAAACAGGTTACTGTGCTTTTACTGCTTCCTCCTTGAGATTTGGATCCTAACTCTTGGAGCATGTTCTAATTGAGGGAATTTTTCAAAGCCCAGGGCTTCTTGCTACAAACCGTGGTGGGATTTCCCTGCTGTGGCCAGGAGGGGAAAGACTGTCACTAGTCTTACAAGTAAATAAGTATTTTCTTTTGTTTTTATATATATATACACATATAAGAAAATTTGCTGACAGTGCTCACTAAGGGTTGTCTGAAAACCGCATGTCTGTTTTTATGATGTTTACAGTCTGCTTAAGAATTTTTGTGTAAACTCCCAGGCTGGTTAAATATCCATCAATACTATAGCTTTACATTTCTACTTAACCAGTATTTCGATGCAGATTCTGATGCAGTTTTCTTAAGCTGATGTTCACATAATGAACTTGTTATGCCAGAAATGAAGGAGGAAAACATATCAGCATGTTTCTTGTGCTTGCAGCCGTGTCTGATCCGAGCAGTACCGTCCACAGACCTCAGCCTCTCCCTCCCAGCACCGTACACCAAAGCAGCCTCCCTTCGAACCCAGAGAGCAGCTCTGCCTATTGCCTCCCCAGCACCAGGCATGGATTTTCCAGCTATACAGACAGCTTTGTGCCTCCGTCCGGGCCCTCCAATCCCATGAACCCTGCCATTGGCAATGGCCTCTCACCTCAGGTCAGTCCTGTGTTTTCAGACAGAGGATTTGCTGTATACCAGAACCAAAGAGTCTATTCCCTCAGGCCACAGTATAATGAATTGCCAAATTTAAACCATAATGTATTCTTTATATAAGCCACATGATTTCAGTTTGCTAGTTTCCTTTTTTTTTTTTTTTTTTAAATATTTTTCCCTCCTACTGGCTGAATCAAGAGTCATAGCTTATWTTTAATTTCAACTGWTTTATAATGGAATCATGCAGACTTCATTTTTGCATTCAGTTGTCAAGCATTTGTAATGTGCTGCTCTTCTGAAGATCCATGGCTAGGCACAGAAAGTAGATCTTGTATTTTTTTCACTGAATAAAATAGCTCTTTAAAATAACCTCATCAAGATTTTACCAAGTGGTCCAGGAAAATTATGGGCAAGTTGTATGAGGAGAATTCCAAGGACTGAGAAATGTGCATTGAGATGAGCTGTAATCGAGTTATAAATACATAAATTAGGAGTATTACTGCTCTTTGGCAATATAAAAATGCATGAATACCATAATTGTTTTTCTAATTTGCGTGAGCTCTTTTAAGGAAATCATGTTAATAAATTGCCTTGATAATTGAGTGTCAAAAGATTGGTTAAATTTTCCTACACACGGCATCTGTCTGAAGCTGACATTATTAGTTAGAGCTTGAAGAGATGCTAGTTTATTTTATTAGCAAGAGCTTTGCCCAGGTGCTTGGAAAGGGATGTCCACTAAATTCTGAGGAGTCACAAAGAGGATGCAATCTATAATTACAATCAGGAATCTCTTCAGGGCTGAAAGTGAGAGTTTTAACAGCTTTATCTGCTTTCTACCCTTTTTTCCTCTCAGTGGTTAGAAAAACAGAGAGAAGCTCAGAATGACACAAATGAAAAGTGAAAAGACAATTATACTCAATTACACACTAATCACTGACTATCACCACTGCCTGAGCAGGGAGAGGGCATTCTAATAGGCAGAAAATGAGATTTTAATGGCACAAAGGGTGGCCAAAATAACGACTCGTATATCTTTGCCTCCTTCGTTTTCTTCAACTTGTGGTTTGCATCTCGGGAGTACAGTTCCTGGTTCCTGTGCAACGGTGATAACTCTGTGCAGCTGAAAAGTTCAAAGGCACTGGAGTTGAAAAGAATGAATAACAAAGGCAATGAAATAAACATTTTTGCCCAAAGGCAAAAGTTCATAAACCCTTTTTTTGTAACGGTAAATGTAATTAAGATTCGCAGATTCCTATAGCATAAGAGTGGGGTACAAAACTTTATGGCTTGAAACCTCAGGAAAAAAATACCAACAGAAAAACAAACGGATGTACTTCCAACAAGACTTGAATAGATTTTGTTTGAAAGAATTCTGATTTCTAAATGCAAACTCCAACAAAATCCATGACATTATATTAGCTGCTTCCTTTTTTTTTTTAATGGCTAGTTCCATAGTGTGCAAGACTTMCACATTTTTTGACATAATTATCTATCTGGTTTTCAGTGTTAATCCATAAAAACTAGCTGTTAGTGTCAGTTTAAATATATGTTGGTTCTGGCTATGGAAAATGTGATCTTTTCCCCCCCCTTTTCACAAAGCTTTTATTGTGTGTGATAYAGAAGTGGAGCACAACAGTAAAGAAATCTTGTGATAGCTGGGCAAAATGGGACAAAAAAGTGAGGCCAGCTTTCCTCCTACTAAAGTCTTGCTGATTTGAGGTTTGATGTAATCAAAAGGATATCTTTTGCTTTTTTACACCTGGCCCTGTCTTTTACAGCATGAGACCTCTGTTGTTTATTTTTTTTTTTTTCTTAGACTTTTGAAACCTTTCTCTAACCCAGTGTTTAGAGCTCCTGGCTATGTCCAGCACCTCTTCCCACAGGTTTAGGAGGATGCYGATCCCTCTAAAGCTGACATCGTGCTTTCATTGTTCAGTGCATAGAGATTATTTATATCCATTTAGATTTGGACCAGCTTCTTGGCAACAGAATTGTTACCTTCAACAGCTGTTAAAAATCTTTCCATCAAGCTAACAAATGAAAAACCCAGACCTAAATTCATGTGGTGTTACCAACAACTCTGTGTCAGTTTTGGTGCCTAAACAAAGAGTTAGAGACATGTATAAAATRTAGAGATGTATTCAGACTTTGTGTTTATATAATGGAGTAATAGAGCCTCAAACATGCAAATTATGTGCAACAAATTGTGGGATTGTAGAAAACCTATGAAACTCTTGATGCCCAAAGGAGCTTTAGCTGCTGGTCACTATGTTAATGTGTGAAATGTCCCTTAGCTGTGGGGTGTGTCACTGTGCGTCCCCTCTCCACATTTCCTCAGGGCTCTTCCTGAGGTGCTGAAAGAGGGGCCAAGGTAAGGTAAAGCTGAAAGCTAATTCTGCATTTGGGGTTTCATGAAAAAGGGAAACAGGAGTTTTCCTGCTGAGTGGGCATGCTGCATTGCCCTGTCTGTGTGCATGGAATTTAGATGAGAAAGAAAGAAGGTCTATTTTCTAGCTAGTGGATTTTTGACCACAATAAATCTGGGTGTGTGAGYAATTAACATAATGTTTCCACCCATCCATGTGTCTCTTGCAGGCAAGTGCTCTGGACAAACTGAGTCTAAAGCTGAATTTGCAGACTGTAGCGGTGAGGGGGAAGGGGAGCTTTGTCTGAAGCCTGGATAGTATTTCGTGATTTAAAACAATCCTCACCCTTAGAACATGCAGAACAAAATCTGATACTGAGATTCACAAGATCATATTGTTAGCCGACTTAAACCTCGTTCTCTCATTYGATATCCATTTATTGCAAATGAGGGTCTGACACACAGACCCACAGGAAAGCTTTATTTTCTATTTAGAATGGTTCCATCCTAACTTTTTTCTTGAATATGATTGACAAATATGCTGTTTAAGGCAAGAACTGGTGAAGGCAGAGGACAAGCAGAGGCACCTAGGGTGATGTAATTTTATTTTTATTGTGTTATGCTTGAATCTGGGGTTTAGAGGGGACGGTATGTCTCAGTTCCATGAAGCAGAATGCTCCATTTCATCCCTGTCTTGCAAGCTGGATATTAAAAAGTTGTTAATCTTTAAAAATGCAAGAGAACAGAAGGAGTTCCACCTTGTTAATACCTGGAACTTTTTAACGTCAAGATAAGATCTGCAGATATCCTTCAGATGACTCATAATTCTCCTYGCTCATCTGGTTTATTCATTACTACCTGGATATTWGKAGAGATCCTCTGTCTTGCAGACATRCAATGGATTGACTTTTGCTGGAAAAAAGTCAGAGATTAATTTCTTGGGGAGCCGGCAGCCTCGAGTGTCCTTGTTTGTATTTCATGAAAAAGCAACTCAACTGCAAGCTTGCCATCTCAGGCAGAGCTCTTTWAATATAATGTCAGAAAAGAGATTATTAGTGTGTAATATATGTAAATTGCATATTTTTATGTTTTCTATGCCTATTATGCAGCTTCTTGCCTCTCATGCATACGTTTATGGGAATATTGTGTTTCCTTTTCAAATTAGGTTTTAGTTCTCAGTGCATATTCTTTTAACAAATGTTTGTTAACTCAGAATTATGAGGGGATAGCATATCTGAACGTTAATATATGTATACAGGACTTAGGCATGCTTTTGGATTGGCATGGCACTTYATGATTAATGGCTCTTGGGTGTGAAGCAGAGCAGTGACTGCAGAAGCACTTGTCTCACAACTGCAGGTGGATGGCCTTAGTAAAGAGCAGATTGTTTTAAAGACAGGATATCAATATTTTGAACTGCTTCGTGTAAGATAAGGAAAAAGACTTTTCCGGTGTACATCAGCATCCCCTGATCTCGTCATGTGCTTTTCATTAGTGTCAGAGCATTAGCATTTGCCCTACACAGGTCAAGCAGCTTGGAGAGGGCTGTTCTGGCTGCTGTGGATTCAGATGGAGCAGCAATACTCTGCTTGAGTTGCTGCCCACAAGGCCGTGTGCTTCCTGTATTTAACCTGTAGGATAAGCCAGGTTTAAACAGTACTACAATGTTAGGGTTTCACTGGGAAAAGAGCAAAYGTGTGTAACCTGTCTCCTGCTAGGCACATTTTTTCACTCCTTGTCCTCTAGAAAARTTCTCAGTTCTACTCTTTCTTCTTCCTTGCCTTTTCCCCCTATAATTGAATCAAACCAGTAGTTTTAAAAGCTTCAGCTTTCAAATGGGAAGTGGATTGAATATTGAATGGGCTGTGTAGGAGATCATAACAGTCTCTAACAAAGTTTGCAGTTTCATGCCATTACCTGGAGCTCAGGAATAATCTTGATAAGAAAATCCCAAGCTTTTCCATGAACAGTAGTAAGGATGCAAGCTGTTTCAAGGTTTCTTTCTTCTACTGTCAAAACATTTCACCGCGTGAGTTTAAGAGTTACCCTGTAACTCCTTTTGGTGAGATAGATCTTAGGCAATGGGCTTCTCTTAAGTCTTTGAGAGCACTTGGTTTTCATTAACCTGAAGTATGGAACTGATGGCAGCTGTCGAATCAGTTAGATATGTTCATATTGTCTTGTTAACTCTGTAAGGGAGGCACAGGAACCAGGGGCTAAAAGCTTTCATTCCCTCATTAAGAGGGACAAGAGCAGGGAAAAAAAAGCAACTATTAATTCATTTTACTTTCCCTTATTCCTTCTGTTGGATTACTTTGAACTGGTTGCTCACAGAAACATTTCATCTGGGTCAAGTCCCACAGCAATGAGAAGCTCATGATCTTTGTCACAATGCACTTGGCTTTGAGAGTTCTTTGCTTAGTGACTCAAGAACATGAGACAGGTCATGGATTTCACTGCAAAAAAGTTAATTCACATGATATAATTTTCTTGAACACAAAGTTTTGTTCTTTTTTTTTTAAGTTTAAAAACAGAAGTTCAGCCAATGGATTAAAGTATTTTTTGTTTCTGTGGGTAAAATAGATGAGATTCAATAGTTTTGTAAGCCACTGTGCAAAATAAGAAATGGGTTTTGTTT